ACTAATGCAATCAACATAGTCCCCTGTCCTCTTGAACCCCCCCTTCAGTAGTGTTCATCACGACTGCTCCCTTTTGATCCCTCAAAGCAGCGTCTTTCAGTTAGGGGTTGTCGTCTCCTATACCTCTCTCTGCCTCTTAAACCTCAGGGCCTCAATAGACTTTCACTGAGAGAGAAAAAACAGTCAAAGAGAAACTCTTACATTACAATTGCTCCTCACCTCCACCTCATCTTCTTACTTTCTGCATCACTGGGTGGTTGCCGAGGGCAGAGAGTGAAGTGAAAGTCTCTAAACCCACAGCCAGCGTGTTAACACATGACTGGGTGCTGCTGTTGGTCCTGATTTGGCTCTTTTTTTTGTTTGCTTCTTTGTATGCAAATGTCATATTTAGAAAATCAAAACACACCTGAAGCGACATTTTCTCTCAGATAATGCTCACACTATCTTTCCATAGATGTGAAAATGTTACGTTTTTTTTTCTCCGTTACTCAGACTAAGCTTAAGTGCGGCTGTCCGTTTAACGACAGGGATGGAATCAACATGCAGCTTAGCTAACCATTTGCATTTGAATGATTATAACACTGATTGCGTGTTGTGTGTTTCTGTGTGTGCGCGTGTATATTTACATTTACTATTCATCTGTCGACAATGTCAGGGTTTTCTTGTTCCGGTCCCTGGAACAAGTGCAGACTTGTGTCAAACCAGTGAGTTTGTTCAAATGACCTTTTAGACTTTGTCCAGTGGAGAAACCATTGTGTGTTTGCACAGTGTTCTAGTGCCGTGTTGGTGAGGCCTGAACTGGCTGAGGATTTAACTGAATGGAAAAAAAGAAAACGCCCTCTGAGTATTAAACTTTTGGACACACTGAACAGCATAATGTGATTATAGTACTCGCGTGGCATAGAGTAAACCACACACATTTTGAGTTGTTCTTATGGCTGTGGGTATTAAATCTGTTGCCCTTTTCACAGAGCAGAGCACTGTGCAAACCTTTGACTCAAACAGATGGATTTTATGCCAAGGAAACCAAGTGCAGCCCCACAAAGGTTCATTTTAAAGACTACGGAGCAATGGATGCATGTGGTGGATTTAATGCTGTGTGAATTTACTCTACCTTTTGGATTTTAATGTGAAGCCAAAGGAGTGAAACATTTCCTCCTGGCCTTGCGCTTCGGAGGCTCACAGAGACTGGATTCTGTTGAGGACAGAGAGGAAATCTACTCCTGAACCGGATCTTTAATGGATTTGATATCAAGGCACAACAGGAAAGGGATTAAGGCCAGAGATTTTGAACTTTTCTTGATGTGGTCCACATTTTTTTGCCCATCCCTCGTCATACAGAGAAGAAGTAGAAAAAGTGATGACATGTACTGAATTCATGTGTATCTGCTAATGTACTAGTTTGACATTTTAGGAAGTATGCTGATTTTTGGTGGCTAAGAATATCTATACCACTTTCTTCGCTGAAAAGAGGGGGAAACAGTTAGCTTGGCTTTGTCTTGCTATTTAACCTCAGCCCCTATTAAACAGCAAATTGTCCCCTTTTACTTTTATGAGTTTTGTGCAGATTCAACAAACAAGCTGTTACGTCTTATTGAGTAAGCTTTAGAGAAGCTGATATGAGGCTGACTTTGGTATCATAGAACAGCGCCAGGCTAGCTTTATGCTAAACTTAGCTAACAGGTTGCTGGCTGTAGCATTGTTTAAACAGAGAAACATGCTAATTATATTGTCATCACACTCCTTAACCAGAAAGCTAAAAAGTGTATTTCCCAAAATGTCAAACTCCTTTTTTTCACCGCACCTATTTTCACCTTTTCTATATGAAGCCAAGGCCATAAGCTGGTTAGCTTCGCTTTGCACCAAAAATCACATGTTTTAGCTCTAAATAAAGGGAAACTGAAAAAGATAAAAAAATTAATTGTGAAAGAGAGAAGGCCGTTTTCTTGGCCTGGAGACATGACTTCCTGTAGTTTACCTTTGGACAGAGCCAGGCTGTATGTTTCCCTCTTTTTCCAGTCTTTGTGCTAAGCTAAGCTAAATGGCTGCTGGCATTAGCTTCACATTTATCAGACAGATGTGAGATTGGTATCTGTCTTCTCAACCAACTCTAGGCAAGAAAGCAAATAAGGGTGTTTCCAATAATGTTATCCTCTTTAATTTAACAGTTGTGTCCTATCACAAATGTAGAAATCAGAATCAGCGTTATTGTTTGTGTTAGGGTAACGTTTAGGCTTAGTGTTGCCCTTATGATAGCAATTCAATGATCAGTTTAGAGCTTTTCAATCTTAAATGCTCCTTCTTTTTTTTTAGTCAAATGTATGCCTTGTTTTATAATGAGGACAGGAAAAGAAAAGCTCAGGAGGCCTTTTGAGGGAAAAGAGCAAAAAAACTATTATTATCTCAGAGGGATTTTAATTTTCTTAACTCAACCTAAAAAGTGACACATTAAAAAGGACTGTGGTCTAAGATGTTGAGGATCTACAAACGGTTCCATACAAAGGCCTGAATGAAACCATTTAGTTCATTTAATCTGGTTGTGTGTAAGCATGTGTGTGCACAAGTGTGTCATTTTTTAAAGTATGGGCCTTCACATGGTCACACACATGGACTGACCTGTGTGTGTCCACAATGCGTCCTCACCTTTTGATGTTAATGCTGTCCTTGTTGGGTTTTTATTTGGTTTTTATGTATTTTTTCCTTATCATTTTGTGTTTGATAGGATGCAAATGTCACTCATAAAGTTTCTATTGTAAAAATAAATAAATGACATTGTTGGGTTTATTTGCATTGTAGCTCTGATCACTGTTGCTTAGTGAACGTCACGGAAAAAGGACGAAGCACAGCAAGTTGGTTTTTGGATAGGAAATATTGTAGTGAGTGATATGCAAATGAGGGGCATACAGTTAATGTGGTTAAGTTGGAAACTCCTTCAAAATAAAACAGTATGTCATTGAGGCCTTTTGAAAAGTTCTTACCTTATTTAGTACTCTGGTCATGATGATTAGTCGTTTTTAATTAATGTATTAGCTTAAAGTGTTGGATCAGCCAATTTACCTAATCAGTGGTATCTAGCCATGCATTGGTTTATTTGTCCTGATGTTGAGATATCTGATATTTCTGCCTCCATGCCATTCTGATTACTTTTAATGGTAATCATTCTTAAGGGGTCAATACGTCTAACAAGTACTTTTGTATACATTTATTTGGATGCCAATACTTCTTCAATTTGAATTTTGAATGAAGGACTTTTACTTGTAACAGAGTATCTTTACAATCTAGTATTGCTATTTTACCTAAAATATAAATTCGGAGTACTTTTTCCTCCATTGATTACAACTGATCGCATAGAGATGATTTTAAGATATTTCACAGCTTATAATAAGATGACACATAAACTAGTAAGGTGCAAAGCAAAATGTTTATTCGCAAAGGGAACTCTAATTTAAATTCAGAACAATTAGCTGTGTTTTAGAACCGGGAGAGGAGCTTTTCTGCTCAACCAGGCATGGAATTAATTACTGCTTTAATGATGCCCTGATGGGTCTCAAAGCAATAGTTCAGCTGCTCGATGCACATTGTTACTTGATTGTATAATGTTTATGCCTCGTGAAAGTCTCTCACTGACCTCCAGCTCACTGCTCTATCCCGTGTCCTTAAAATGTCTGTTAATTGAGGAGAGTACACAATTGTTTCTTTAATTACTTTAATTTTATCCCTTCGACAGGGGCCATTAATCCTGCGTGTGGCATTGAGAGCAGAATGTTCCTGTTTGTAGTACAATGTGACTGTCACAGTGACCAGGGTCAAGTATAAAAGCCTGTCTTTAATTTCACTCTTCCCTAGTGAGAGAAAAAGCAGTGTTGATTAAATGTATTTTTGGTTCTTCCTGCTCTTTAGGACTATATTCCATCATCTAACTTTCAAATTACTTTTAGGTTGTTGAACAACATGAGGGGGTCAGATTGGATTAAAAAAATGCTTTGAATCTACAGATTCTGCCTGGATTAATAACATGTCCACGGTGACTGTACATAAAACCTCTGCTCAATCGTGCCATCTTAAAATTAGATTTATGTCAATGCTGCCTGGTTTTATAACATTGTTTGTCCTAAAAACTTGGTTTTGTTTTAAGGATTAGCTTAAAGGGACAGTTAACCTCAAAATCAAAGCTAGATATGTTCCTCCTGCCTGTAGTACTATCAATCTTCATCATTTTGCATCCAATACGTCCAGAACTCTGCCGCCAGGCTTCTCACCCGCACCAAGCCATGGCAACATATCACCCCCACCCTCAACCACTTACACTGGCTGCCGGTCAAGTCCCGGATTCAGTATAAAACACTCCTCCTCACGTACAAGTCCCTCCATACCCTCGCCCCCCAGTACTTATCGGACCTCCTCCATCCCTACACCCCTTCTCGGAGTCTGCGGTCCTCAGACACGGGCCTGCTCTCCATCCCCCGCTCTCGCCTCCGAACTGTTGGTGACAGGGCGTTCAGTGTTGCGGCCCCCACCCTCTGGAATGCACTTCCTGCCGAGATCCGTAATGCTGCCTCCCTGGACATCTTCAAATCATCATTAAAAACACACCTGTTCACCCTGGCCTTCGGACCCTAGGCCTTTCTTGGTCCCCCGGCTTCCTTTTACTTTTTGTTTGCCCTTTGATTGTCTGTTTGTTTTGTTTGTCCACCATGTACAGCGACCTTGGGTCCCTTGAAAGGCGCTATATAAATATCATTTATTATTATTTTATCATGAGTGGCAAACAACACCTAGTTCAAATCCCACAATCTAATGTATGATGTGGTGATGCTGCATGTTTGCAAATGGCTTTATAAAATATATTTGTAAAAGAGCTATATAATAAATAGTTCAGTATATTATCCCTAAATAATGGTTAACCTAATGTCCATTGTTTGAGATGCATGATCTTCCAGAGTCATTGCATAATAATGGCCTCTCTAAAATGTCTTGACAGAAACTCCTTTGCAAAGGTGATTGATGTATCTCTCGCTTTTATTTGGATACTGAGAGCTGAAAAAAGGCCTGAGACTGTTTCTGAGCTCATTGCACATCTGGGTTGTGTTTCTACAGCTTGCAGTGTTTTGTAATCTTTGGTGACCAATGTACATCAAAGATATTGCTTGTTTTGTCGCCACCCTGTGGCAGCATCTACTACTTACATTGTATTTGTATCCAGTAAGTAAGTGAGTAACTGTCTCCTTGCTTTATGTTATGGTTTATTTACTTGTTCACATTTATGTATTCAAAACTAGGGTAGTCAATTTATTTTAGAATCATGTAGCGTTGTATCTTTTCTTCAATTTAACCTTTGTCTTATAAAAAAGAGAATATACTCAGCTTTACCTTATACAGTAGAGACACTCTGTTACATTAGTGCTCTGATAAACCAAAGTCTGAGGTCCCTCATACCAGCAGACGCTTCCCCTTCTTTTACCATCCCTTCTGCCGTGTGTACATTTGGGTTCATTGCTTTTTGTCCTGCAGGTGTGTGCTTGCTGCTCTCAGAGTGTCCTGCAGGTCTTTGTACTGGGCCAGAGTGCAGGCCTCCTCCAGCCGGGCCCAGCGGTAGTCCTGGTGCTCGTCAGACAGAGTCACAGCTGTTCCTGTGTCTCTCAGCTCGGCCAGCCAGTACAGCACCTCTTTGGGTTTGCCTCGCACCTCGTAGCGCAGCTCCTGCAAAAATCCGTCAACAACCTTCAGCTGCTCCTCTCCAAACCCCGCCTCCTCCTTGGTCTCCCTCAGGGCTGTGGTAAGGTCGTCCTCGCCCGGATCCACATGACCTGATGGAGAACAGGTTAGATGTCACTTAGACAAAGAACATTTAAAGTTAGCTCATTAGTGTCTATGCAAACTACTTGAGGAATCTGTAGGTTTTTTGAACTTGTAAACACCTTTGGGTGGGGTCCAGTGGTGCTGCCCATAAGAGGTCTGCAGGAGGAGGTACTCGATGTTGTCTGGAGGGACACAACTGGCGAGACGACGAAACACTATGAAGCCACAGGCTCGCAGCGCCATCTCCCTGTTTGAAAAATGCACAAACAAGCACATTTCACATTATGTTTGATTATGGAATTCCCCTATAGAAAGCAAAAAGCTACTTAGTCAAACCCCTTGTCAGTGGAGCTCACCTGTTAACGTAGATATTAGACTCACCACTCTTCCAGGGAAGACCTTTGCACTGCTGAGGGGGAAACTGTTACATTATAAAATAATATTACACGCAATATGGGTTATTACTTTTTCACAATGTTCTAATGGTAGATGGACAAAAATGTTCAACATGCTGTTTGGCAAGGAAAAGCAGAGTAGTTTAAAGTGTATTTTACTGGTTAAACCAATGCATATTCTGTGCATATAGAGCTACATATTTTTTTATTGTTTTAAACTTTTGGTAGTATATTTAAAATTGTTACCATGGCACTTTGGTTAGGTATGTTTATGAATGCAGGAGTTTTACTTGCAACAGAGGGTTTCCAAACAGTGACGTGACTTATTCCACCTGTGGTAGAACATGTTTTTTTCAAACAGGCGTTAGCTAGCACGTTGTAACTTGTGCTGATTCTGTGATGGATTTTACAGCGAGACAGACCCAACACTGCTGCAACAGTGGGATTATTTACCAGGCCAAAACAATGATCAGATTTGATAACATGCAACAGTATCTCACTTCTCCACTGGCACAGATTCGCTGTCAAACCTCGGCAGGCTTCACTTTCTGTTCTAACTCTACAGACATGTTCGCTGTTCTACCATCAAGGAACACATACTGCTGGTTTGACGACTATCTCAGTGACTTAACTTAAAATATGTCAGTGTTTTACTTACGGTTCACTGTGAAATATTTGCTAAATCGTTGTTTGTTCCTCACCGACAGACAGCACTGCGGAGCTCAGCGGTGCTCTTGAAATAGTGTCCGGTCCTCTCTGAAAACGGAAATAAACAGTTCCGCTTTGTTCAACTGCTTTGACAGTAGGCTACTCGTAGTAGCCACTGCCAGTAATGAAAGATAAATGTATATAATAAAATAATCTAAGCTATGTAACTATGTACATAAACTCAAGTACTGTACTTAAGTACAAATTTGAGATACTTATATTATATATATATATATATTGTAGTGCCGAGAGATAGGAGTCGGAGGCGGTGCATCGAAGGTGCAAATGGGTACTTTAATGAGCGACAGAAATGGACATGCTGGGTGTTTCTCAATCGCGAGTAAAGCTGCTTCAGAGCCACTATTTCAAGCATACTACGTCATCGAGTGCCGCCGAAGTACTGTTCCAATCTCCAGCATACTTGGAAATCTACCGAGCCCGGCATACTCCGTTTGGAGAAATATCGAGGCTGCACATGAGTAGACTCCGCGGTCTTAAAATCCCCACAATGCTTTGCGCACGGACCAATTTCCCCAAATCTGTGACGGAAGATGTAAGGCGGGGCCTCTCATATGACGCACACCTGCACACTTGCTAGCGTGTTCCACTCTTCGTTTTCCGAATGCCAGGAAGTATTCTTGACTCGCTTCTGAAGCAAGATGCTCGGCAGACATGTGCTACCAAGCAAGCGTACTCGCGATTGAGAAACACCCCCTGTCGGGTCGCAGCCCGGGAAGAGAAGAGAAAGCGAAAGGGAGGACACACAGGGTGTTTCTCAATCGCGAGTAAAGCTGCTCCAGAGCCACTATTTCAAGCATACTACGTCATCGAGTGCCGCCGAAGTACTGTTCCAATCTCCAGCATACTTGGAAATCTACCGAGCCCGGCGTACTCCGTTTGGAGAAATATCGAGGCTGCACATGAGTAGACTCCGCGGTCTTAAAATTCCCACAATGCTTTGCGCACGGACCAATTTCCCCAAATCTGTGGCGGAAGATGTAAGGCGGGGCCTCTCATATGACGCACACCTGCACACTTGCTAGCCTGTTCCACTCTTTGGGTGTTTCTCAATCGCGAGTAAAGCTGCTTCAGAGCCACTATTTCAAGCATACTACGTCATCGAGTGCCGCCGAAGTACTGTTCCAATCTCTAGTATACTTGGAAATCTACCGAGCCCGGCGTACTCCGTTTGGAGAAATATCGAGTCTGCACATGAGTAGACTTCGCGGTCTTAAAATGCTTTGCGCACGGACCAATTTCCCCAAATCTGTGGCGGAAGATGTAAGGCGGGGCCTCTCATATGACGCACACCTGCACACTTGCTAGCGTGTTCCACACTTCGTTTTCCGAATGCCAGGAAGTATTCTTGACTCGCTTCTGAAGCAAGATGCTCGGCAGACATGTGCTACCAAGCAAGCGTATTCGCGATTGAGAAACACCCATAGTTTTCCGAATGCCAGAAGTATTCTTGCCTCGCTTCTGAAGCAAGATGCTCGGCAGACATGTGCTACCAAGCAAGCGTACTTGCGATTGAGAAACACCCACAGTAGGTACACAGTAGGTACCGTCAACATGTGTGTCCGTGCGGAAACAATACCCCCAACCTGTAGTTCCTTGATTTAATTATGTAACCCAGTGTATTAATAAGTGATCACTACACAAGCCCCCCCAGAATTCAACCATGGACACAATCCTCGCGTCCGGGAGGAAGCACCACAGGGGCCGAGGAGGGCGGGGCCGCCGGCGAGGGCCGGGCCATGGAACGGGCCGTCGGAAGGGGGCCGCAGGAGAGGGTAGGGGCCCCAACGAGGGCGAGGGCATCCCCACCGGGGGGTGGGGGGCGGGCCGGAACGGGCCGTCGTTAGGGGGCCGCAGAAAGCAGGGTCGCTGTGTTGCGACGTGGGGACAGGCGTGAATATCCCGGTGGTCCCCAGCAGGGAGGAGCGCTGCCCGGCCGCAGGCGAAGGCACAGCGGCGGCGGGTACGAAGTCCTCGGGAGGAAGGAGCCGTGTCCCCGGGAGGAGGGAGCCGTGGACAGGGGAGAGGCCAGATGGGGCGCCGTCTGAAGCCGCCGTTGAGGCGAACCGTGAGCCGCGGTTAGAGGAGAGGCCAGGCAGGGTCCCGAAGCGCGCCACCCACGGGCCGATGAAGGCATGGGCGACGTCCGAAACCGCCGAGGCGAGGGAAGAGGCCAGACCGGGTCCCGAAGCGCGCCACCCACGGGCCGATGAAGGCATGGGCGACGTCCGAAACCGTAAAGTCGAGGCGAGACGGGGTCCAGAAGCGCGCCACCCACGGGCCGAAGAAGGCATGGGCGACGTCCGAAGCCGCCGTCGAGGTGGTGAAAAAGCGAGAGGGTCCACACGAGGCCGACCAGACATGGTCGAACCTCCTCTCAGGCACCAGAAAAAAACTCAAAAGCGTCGTCCTGTCCACGAACAAAAACAGGTGGGCGAAATAGCGAGAGGATCCACACGAGGCCGACCAGACATGATCGAACCTCCTCTCCGGCACCAGAAAAAAAACAGTCGGATGTCGTTAGCCGCTAGCTGCTAGCCGCCAGCTGGACATGCAGCCGCATGTCCCGAATAAACCAGGCATGGTCGTGTATCGGCTCCATGGAAGGCTTGCTGTCCCCCAGTGCCGAAATGGCGAGCGTCGTCCGCGGCCATTCCGGAGGGCGCACCAAGCCACAGTCCGCGTGCACGTGGCAGCCACGGACATCTCCAAAAATCTCCGGCATTTCGAGAAAAACCAGAGTCTGTTTTTTGCCGTGTTCGGTCCAGTCTCGGATCATTCGCGAGACTTACGTCGGGGTCACCAATGTAGTGCCGAGAGATAGGAGTCGGAGGCGGTGCATCGAAGGTGCAAATGGGTACTTTAATGAGCGACAGAAATGGACATGCTGTCGGGTCGCAGCCCGGGAAGAGAAGAGAAAGCGAAAGGGAGGACACACAGTAGGTACACAGTAGGTACCGTCAACATGTGTGTCCGTGCGGAAACAATACCCCCAACCTGTAGTTCCTTGATTGAATTATGTAACCCAGTGTATTAATAAGTGATCACTGCACAATATATATTTCAATTTTTTGCTACTTGGTACACAATTCAGAGGTAAATTGTGTACTCTTACTTCACTACATTTATTTTGTACCTTTAGTTACTGGTTTGGATTAATGATGTGAAATATAATCAATGATGTGAAATATAATCAACACTTAAGTAATACTTCAGTTACACCTGGAGTAGATACACAAGCTACCCTGCAGTACACAAAGTGATTAAAGCTGCACCTTTACCAGCTTTGATAATACTTTAATGCATCAATAGTTATAATCAACACATATCATATATATATCATTCCGAAATTGACAAACATTTTTGAATGAGCCCTGCTGAAAAAACCAGCTTAGACCAACAAGGCTGGATTAGTTTGCTGGTTAAGAGGGGATTTGGACACTTTAGCTGGTCAGGATAGCTGGTTTGGTCACAGTGGTCTAGCTGGTCACCATTAGCTGGTCGGGATAGCTGGTTTAGCTGGTAAAAGCTGGTGGTCACAGTGGTCTAGCTGGTCTAGCTGGTCAGGATAGCTGGTTTGGTCACAGTGGTCTAGCTGGTCACCATTAGCTGGTCTGGTATGATCTTGAGTAGAAGTTCTAGAACATCTATCATTTCAGATCAGAGCACCTACCTTACCAGAAAGGTACCAGAATGTATAGAATGTATTGTCTGTAAATAAACACTCATAGATCAAATGATTAGAAGCAGGAAAATAATTTATAACACACAATGAACATTAACACAAATTTGAAAACATTTTCAAAACACCCATTACTTCATATTTTTAAGCAATTTCCTTCAACTGTTTCTTTCCGCTTTTCACAAGGTCCTGTATTTTTTGTGAAATGTAGTAACCGGCCAACTTCTCCCTCTCGGTCTTCTCCACGTTTTGTGAATTCAGCCATCCTCTGAAGCATTCTTGAAAAGAGAAAGGAAAAACAGATTAACTTTTAGCTTTGTGTTATGATTACTTAAAGGGGACCTATCATGCAAAATGCACTTTTGTACGTCTTTTATACATGAATATGTGTCCCCAGTGTTCCAGGGAACTCACCAAGTGTCAGAAAACACAACCCTCTCTATTTTCCTCCATACCCAAATCTCTAAAAAAGGGGCTGCAACGGATCTGATAAAAACTGATCCAGATTTGAACACTGTCCTGACGTCAGGACAGTGGCGCTACGGCTATTAGGCCAACTCCACCAATCAGGAGGAGACAGCCACGGCCATTGCAGTTCGAAAGCGCTGGAGACGCTGTAGTACATATGCCAGGCCTGTAGATGGTGCTGTTCTCACTGAATCTGCCCTTGCAAAAACAGAGCTAAAAAATGTCAAATTGAACAAAATGAGGCATGGCTAAAATGCATGATCTGTTTGGTATTTTGAAAAAAAAAAAGTATAAATATGCCTTATTGGTATGGTCCTATACTATATTATTCAAATATAGCATGATAGGTCCACTTTAAATAGGTGCACTGTGAGATGAAAATAAAAATGTATCAAATTTAGTTTTGAACATTCACTGTGATTGGGTCTATTATCTATTTACTCTCAGACTTGGTGAAATTGTGTAATGTTGCTTACCTCCAGAAGGACTTTTAGCGCGTTTCCCAGTAGACAGAGCTGTCAGAGCGGTGCCTCTCAGAAGAGCAGCCGCTGGGCGGAGTCACATAAACGTTCAACTGATCTTCACTCCTCAACCGTGCCAGTCAGCGCCATATGGTGCCAGTCAAAAACAAACCGCTTTGTTTCAACCACTGCTGTCTCGCCGTTTCCCCGTGTCCCGCCCTCTCTGTCTGTCTGTGTCTGTTTCAGTTTCGCCAGCAAGACTGCTGGTAGACCAGCATAAATACCAGCTTCACCAGCATAGACCAGTTTAACTACCAGCTAAAACCAGCATAGACCAGCATGACATCCATGCTGGGCTATGCTGGTTTAGCTGACCAGGCTGGTCTTGAACCAGCAAGAACAGCCTGGCCAGCTTGTCCAG